CTCTGCCTCGCCAGGCCACTCTTCATCATCAGCAGTGGCGGAGCGAGCCAGAGGAGGCAGGCGCTCAGACGGCGGGAACAAAGCGCTGCTCGCCGCTGCCAATAACCCAGCATTAAAGATGAGATTGCCTGCCCCTCCTCCACCTCCCAGCAGAGATAACTCGATTTGATGTCGACGGCGTCCTTTCTTCTCCTCGGCTTCCAAGTGGGCCGGTGTCGGCCATCGTTAGCCTCCTGAGTTATAGCAGCCTTCAGCGCCGCCGCTCCTCGCTGTCACTTTCGTTAGCCGCGGCTAGCTGACAGTTGCAGACATAATTAGCCCCGCTAATGTGGCGCCGGGCCGGATGCGACATTTGAGGAGCGTCGGGAGGGAAAACAAACAAATCAAGCATTTCATTAGCGAGCGCTGACAGCTCCTCTCTGAGCCTGTAATGAACTTCTAACCGCCGCCGTCCTCTTCCTGCCGAATCTTCACGCCCGCCGCTTATTACTGCCACTACAAATAACGCCACACTCCTCTCCAGGTCTAACCACACCGCCATTAATAATGCACCGCCACGCAGGCTCGGAGCAGGCGGGGAGAGCCCGATCAGCGGGCCGTGAAGCCTCGGCGGCGTGTTGCCCATCCCCTTCGTATCTGCTCGCCGCCGTCGTCAGCCCTGTCACTCGGCCGTAACAACATCACAGGGGGCTGCGAATATTAGCTGCCCGTCAGCGGGAGAGGGTGGAGGAGTAATTAGACAACCGAGGTGGTGACAGGAAGTGAGTGGCGCCGGCGAGCCGCGTTAACAGCTCCGGACGGGCTGTTCTCGTGTTCCAGCGCTCACCTGACAAACATCAGCTGCTTTTTTATTCACACCTGTGACTCAGGTGAAGGTGTCCCGAGAGCAGAGAGGGGTTCGTCTCTGCATCGGCTCTCTGGTGGCAAATCGCCACCATCGGAGGTTGAAAATAAAAAGAGCGGGGAATACTCATGTTCTGGGTTATACTTCCAAAGTTTATCCTCAGAAAGTATCCGAGTATTCAATGACCCTCGGTGAGGCTCATATAATACACCTCCAGGGCAGCTCGGGTCAATAACATGACACACATCATGTCTGTGATCATGATCATAGACATGATGTTTTATCACTGCTCAGGTGCTGATAATCAAAGCACTGATCAGCTGATCGTCAGCAGGTGTGAGCACCTCTATAAAAACTTTGTGTTCTGGAGCAGCGGTCCCCAACCCCGGGCCTCGGACCGGTACCGGCCGCGAGAGTTGAGGCTCAGGTGTGAAATGTTTGGTTTTCAGGGTTTTTATCGGTTTCCAGCGTGATTTTGTTATCGTTTTTATCGTTTACTCGGTGTTCCTGGGTCTTTTCACGTGTGTTATGAATAAATCTTCTTTTTTTCGGTACCGGTACTGGTTTTATTTTGTTGTATTTATCCGCGACACCTTAAAGGCCGGTCCGTGAAAATATTGTTGGCCATAAACCGGTCCGTGGTGCAAAAAAGGTTGGGGACCGCTGCTCTGGCGTCTGAACTTGGGTTTTTGGTTTTTCTTTATTTTTCAGAGGATCTAAAACAGATATGGAATTAAAACTCGTGGGACGTCCATCCACGAGTTAAAACTGTAAAGGACCAAGAATTGAACCCTGAGGAACACCACCAGCATTTAAGTTTAAATAGAAATGTCATGGTCCTGGGCCATGTTGGCCCAGTGTTCTTAGTTTTCTTTATGTTTGTATTCAGTTCCCTGTTTAGGCTCTGTTTCCTGAGTTGCCCTGTTGTGTTGTTCCCTGAGTGCTTTTCCTTTGTGACTCTCACCCCCTGTGTGCCCTCTGTGTATCTGTGAGCCCTCGTCTCCCTTTGTGGTTGTTCCATGTTTCCCAGCCCGTTATGTCTGTGTTCTCCCCGTGCTCTCTCTCCTCCTGTCTGAACCTCTGTACTTCCTGTTTTACTTTGCCCGTCTCCCGCCAGTGTGGTGTTCACTCCTGCCGTGTGTTGTTATGATTATCAGTGTCACCTGTGTTAACCCTCGTTAACCCTCTGTGTATTTATGTCTGCGTCTTCCTCAGTTCTGTGTCGCGTTCTCCCTCATGCTGCGTGGATTTCCCTGTGTCTCTCTCCAAGTATTAGTTTATTGTTCCCAGTTTAAGTTTTGTATTTTCCTGTCATCTTGTCAGCAATAAAGCTGCCTTTTGAGTTCATCCCTTGAGTCCGTGAGTTTTGCGATTGGGTCCTCATCCTGCCTGCCACGCAGCCGTATCATGACAAGAAATGATCTTAGAGCTCACAGGAGGTACAGTTTTTATCACTTTTTCATTCTGGAGGTTTTCTTATTTCAACTGTGAGTACAAGAAAACAATTGTTAGAATATAATGTGTTAAATTTGCTTAGATGAGAGGGTCCAGCAGTAGATCAGAGGAATAGGGAAGGATTTGTCTGTGTGTTTCAGTTTGGTTTAGCTGTAGGCCTGAGAGTGTGTGTTGAGAGGAATTTATGGACACCGGGGGTCAGCCTGTCAAAGACGGAGACAGGAAGCTACAGATGGGGGATGCTGATGCTTGTACCTGAATGTAATAAAGAAGTAGGTTTGCAGGAGACTCTCCACATGCTTAGCTGTAAAAGTAAGACAAGAGTGGGGTCTCAGTGCTTGTAATATGTTAACTGTGTTTTGTATGTTTTGTAGCTTGGGTGAGGGGAGATGGACTTTTATCACCGGCAGGAAGTCACATATCAGAGATGCACGCACACCCACACGTACAGTCACTCACGTGCACTCACACATACACACATGTACGCGCACACACAGGCACTCACGTGCTCACGTATACATACACAAACACAAAGTTTACAACACACCATGAGGGTTTTATGATGGGTCGCTTCTATAAAACTGGTGGAAACAAACAAAGAAGTGGAGCTCTGCAGAGGGACACCGGCATGCACGTCTCCCCTTCTAGAAGATGCATGCGTAACTGAAGATGAATAAAGGTTTTGTGAAATGACTACTGGGGCGATCGTGGCTCAAGAGTTGGGAGTACACCTTGTAATCGGAAGGTTGCCGGTTCATTGTGTCCTTGGGCAAGACACTTCACCCGTTGCCTACTGGTGGTGGTCAGAGGGCCCGGTGGCGCCAGTGTCCGGCAGCCTCGCCTCTGTCAGTGCGCCCCAGGGTGGCTGTGGCTACATGTAGCTGCCATCACCAGTGTGTGGATGGGTGGATGACTGGAGGTGTAAAGCGCTATACAAATACAGGCCATTTACTGAGTCCGGTGCCGTCTCTGGAGGCCTGAGGAATAAAAAAAGAACCGGGGTGAAACTGCTTTACAGAACACAACCCACACAAAATGATTCAGAGAGAAGAGCAGCGTGAAAGTCGAGGCTTTGAAGCCGCGATCTCCGCCCTGAGCTCAGACTCCAGAGCTCCATCCAGGCCTCAGTCAGCAGGCTAAATGTTAAAGTTCATGACAGTAGAATTAGACAGACTGAACAGGTACGGCTGTTTGGAAGGACCAAGGCGTCCTCTCTCTAAAGCCTGCAGAGCTGCATCTGATCGTCGCAGCAGCGGGAGGAAACCGCACAGCTCATACCAGCTGTCAGCTCGGTGGAGGCGCAGAAGTCACCGGAACGCTCTAACTGCTAATCTGAATAATTCGATTACTGAGCAGTATTTCTGTATCTGATGTGGATGAACTGGTCCTTTAAACCTGCTGCTCTTTTCATGTTTGGGATAAAGTGCCTCATTCCTCCACTCGCCTCCTCCTGAGCTCCTTCGCCTCCCTCTCTGCGGTCCTCCCCTCGTTAAGCTTGCTCTCCTCGCCTCTAATTAAAATGCGAGAAGGCTGCGGCTTTGCTTGCGCTTTGATAACAGTTATCAGGTTGGAGTTACTTTAGCTATTGATTTGATTAAGAGGCTTATCCATTGTTTAATGAGTTTTCCACTCCACTGCTCTCCTTCTAATCAGGCACACCGCCAGGTCCTCCGCCCTCTCGCTCTCCATCTCCTCCTGTGTGAGTCGGAGTCTCTCGCCCCGGGCTGCAGTTGGCGGAGCCGTTTACTGTCAGTCTAACAAACGGTGTCTCTTTAATGGTGCACATATATTCACTGTAACTCTCCAGAAACCAGGTTTGATCCCTCTGAGGACGGGACGTCGTTTAAAGATCGATTACAGCAGCTAAATGTGGCAGAGAGACCACAGCGAGCAGTCCCTCTCTGCAAGAGCCCCCACACCTACGATGCTCCACATCCACACCATGTCTGCACAGTTCTTAGTATTTTATTTGACTTTTATAGCATCTCAAGGAGCTTTATACTGTAAAGGAACTACAATAATACAGAGAAAACAGAGAACCCCCCAACAATCATATGAGCCCCTATGAGCAGCACTTTGGCGACAGTGGGAAGGAAAAACTCCCTTTTAACAGGAAGAAACCTCCAGCAGAACCAGGCTCAGGGAGGGGCGGGGCCATCTGCTGTGATTGGTTGGGTGAGAGAAGGAAGACGGGATAAAGACATGCTGTGGAAGAGAGACAGAGGTTAATAACAGATATGATTCAATGCAGAGAGGTCTGTTAATACATAGTGAGTGAAGAAGAAACACCCAGTGCATCATGGGAATCCCCGGCAGCCTACGTCTATTGCAGCATAACTAAGGGAGGATTCAGGGTCACCTGGTCCAGCCCTAACTATATTCTCCAAATAGATGTGAAAAAACATTTGAATTCACTGAAATGAAAATAAATCTGAAACGATGAGTGCAGAGGAAGCATCCTCAAAATGTTTATCAAATATTTTTCCCCCGATTGTTCACTGAAAGACATTTTCAAACAATAAAAACTGAAACACACAAATCCACCGTGGAAACTTGCTGAAACTAAATACAGCGCTGTAATAACTGTCTCACGTTTTCAGT